TAAATTTAAAAATTAAAAATTGAACATTCTTCGGCCGATGCGTGACAAGAGGCGATTTTCCTCTATGGACCCCATGAGAACCGGTCTGGCTCCGAAAATATTGCTCGGATCACCTCGGAACTTAGTGCGTTGGATTCCTGACACAATTTCACACCTAAATAGCTGCCATAGCAACTTCTGAAAATTGATTTAAAAATAAAAATTGAACACTCTTCGGCCGATGCGTGACAAGAAGCGGATTTTTCTCTATGGACCCCATGAGAACCGGTCCAGCTCCGGAAATATTGCTCGGATCGCCTCGGAACTTAGTGCGTTGGATTCCTCAGACTATTTCACACCTGAATAGCTGCATAGCATTTTCTAAAAACTAATTTAAAAATTAAAAATTGAACATTCTTCGGCCGATGCGTGACAAGAGGCGATATTTCTCTATGGACCCCATGAGAACCGGTCTAGCTCCGGAAATATTGCTCGGATCACCTCGGAACTTAGTGCGTTGGATTCCTGAGACAATTTCACACCTAAATAGCTGCATAGCAACTTCTAAAAATTAATTTGAAAATTAAAAATTGAACATTCTTCGGCCGATGCGTGACAAGAGGGGATTTTCTCTATGGACCCCATGAGAGCCGGTCTAGCTCCGGAAATATTGCTCGGATCACCTCGGAACTTAGTGCGTTGGATTCCTGAGACAATTTCACACCTAAACAGCTGCATAACAACTTCTAAAAATTAATTTAAATATTAAAAATTGAACATTCTTCGGCCGATGCGTGACAAGAGGCGATTTTTCTCTATGGACCCCATGAGAACCGGTCTAGCTCCGGGAATATTGCTCGGATCGCCTCGGGACTTAGTGCGTTGGATTCCCGAGACAATTTCACACCTAAAAAGATGCATGAAAACTTCTAAAAATTAATTTAAAAATTGAAAATTGAACATTCTTCGGCCGATGCGTGACAAGAGGCGATTTTTCTCTATGGACCCCATGAGAACCGGTCTAGCGCCGGAAATATTGCTCGGATCACCTCGGAACTTAGTGCGTTGGATTCCTGAGACAATTTCACACCTAAACAGCTGCATAACAACTTTAAAATTAATTAAAATAAAATCGAACATTCTTCGGCCGATGCGTGACGAGAGGCGATTTTTCTCTATGGACCCCATGAGAACCGGTCTAGCTCCGGAAATATTGCTCGGATCACCTCGGAACTTGGTGCGTTGGATTCCTGAGACAATTTCACACCTAAATAGCTGCATAACAACTTCTAAAATTAATTTAAAATTAAATAATTGAACATTCTCGGCCGATGCGCGACAAGAGGGGATTTTTCTCTATGGGACCCCATGAGAACCGGTCTAGCTCCGGAAATATTGCTCGGATCGCCTCGGGACTTAGTGCGTTGGATTCCTGAGACAATTTCACGCCCAAATAGCTGCATAGCAACTTCTAAAAATTAATTTAAAAATTAAAAATTGAACATTCTTCGGCCGATGCGTGACAAGAGGCGATTTTTCTCTATGGACCCAATGAGAACCGGTCTAGCTCCGGAACATTGCTCGGATCGCCTCGGAACCTAGTGCGTTGGATTCCTGAGACAATTTCACACCTAAATAGCAACTTCTAAAAATTAATTAAAAAATTAAAAATCGAGCATTCTTCGGCCGATGCGTGACAAGAGGGGATTTTTCTCTATGGACCCCATGAGAACCGGTCTCGGCTCCGGAAATATTGCTCGGATCACCCCGGAACTTTGTGCGTTGGA